TGCCCCAAGCAAATTTTCTAAAACCTAAAAATAATTTTATTTAAGCACAGATGACATACCCACACTTTAATGCAGGCATGGGGAACCCTGGTCCTCGAGGGCAGGTGTCCTGCATGTCTTTTTGCTCCGACACTTCTGATTCAATAGTTGATTCAGCTGTTCTGCAGCTCATCAAGCTCTGCAGAAGCCTGTTAATCACCTGCTGATTGAAATCAGGTGTGATGATGCAGAGTTGAAACTAAAATATGCTAGATAGCAGCCCTCAGTGGACCAGGGTTCCCCACCCCTGCTTTACTGAGTATATTTCTATAACCACAAGGACTATTTAATTACTATTTAATTACTTTGGTCTCATTATAAAGGTAATTATTGTGGGATTTATTGGGATGTGTAAATATTAGTATATGTGCCATTGATTAAATGTAAATGGACATGGAGCATTGTAAATGTTGTGTACTGAACTGAACACTCGGTGGCAGCAGAGCACGACTAATATAAATATTGGTGTAGTGTAGAGTTCAGGGGACGTTCTGCTGAGGGTTACAAGATGAATGCTGTGTTTAAGCTTGTCCTGTCTCCATTAAAATTGATTTGTGATGTGTCATTTAATTGTAGTTTTAGTTGTGTTTAGAGCAGTGGCAGGTGCTATGAAGGAGCTAGTCTTTTTATTGAGGGTGCTATGAAGGAAGTGGTCATGCGTACCTATTGTTCTCTAAAACACCTTCAACACTAGCAGATACACATGCGTGCACAAAACCTCAACAACACCTGAAACAATCATTAATATACATCATAAACATATGAACAATCGCTGACTTTTCCATGAAATCATAAACACATATAGACACACAGAAAACCATCTATAGTGTTGCAAGGTTAGCTAACATTAGTGTTAGCATTTCCAGCGGCAAAACCCTCGACTGCTGCGGCGGTTGAGGGTTGACTCTCTTCATGTAGATTCGTAGGTTTTTGTGGGTCTGAGACCACTTCCAAAGATTCATTCATTTCTGACTGAACACATGGAAATTTGGGCAACAAAAACCGATCCATTTTACCCCTAGCTCTACCTTTCACTCGTTCGCAGGTGGAAAATGAGGTCAAAGGTTAACATCAATTTCCTGTTTTGATTTAAGTTTTTACTATCTATATGATAATTTACTGATTATTTTTGTTTTGTATGATAAATATTATCACATCCACACGTTGAATTAAAATTAAATAGTAAAAAAATAATAAAATCTAATATTTACGCGGGGGTGCTATGGGGGTGCAATGACTAATCCAGGGGTAGCTATAGCGCGGCCCCCCCCCTCCCCCCCAGCGCCACCACTGGTTTAGAGGTGCAGTTTGGTGATATTTATTGATATATAGGGCATACATTGTGATGCTAAACTATTTCTGGCACCCAATTAGGGGAAGCTTGGGCTCAAAGTAACACATTATTATTTTTCTAATTAATTGTAAACAATGCATTAAATTCCCACCCCTAATTCTTTATCTGCTCACATTTAAATTTAAAATCTCCTCAACTTGAGCTGGTAGGGAACTAGGACACAACACCATGCTGCACACTCTCTGCAGACATCCATGTGTCACACAGGCATCTTTCATTTGTGTGAGTTGTGTCACATCCACCTGCAGATTGTACATGAAGCAACAGGATGAAAATCCTCCTCAGTAGCAGCACAACAGCGACAGGAAGGACAAACAGCTGATGCAATTGGATGATATGCTTTAAAAGTCATTTTAACTTACGCCTTAATCACTCAGTTACACACCAGATTTTGAACTGGGCCCTAATTTACCATAAATGAATTTTCCAGAGTGGTTTAAAATGTGAGTTTTCATTGGAACTGGTATTCTGTAAATGTTCTAAACTCGTGCAGTTTTCCAATCCTCTCATCTTGTTGAACTCTTTATGTCTTCTGATACAGAGGCCTCTGAGATATAGAATATCACAGCATGATAACAGGCTGGACGTCACAAATCAATGTCCTGCATCCTAGCTCTTTTAGTTTTTTCAGTTGATCTTGATTGTTGGAAGGAATCATGTTATACATAATTTGAATATTATTATAAAACTCGTTAGATCCTTGAAATGGAGCATTATGTTTAAAAAGACCTGCAGCACCTTCATTTGATTGAATGTAAGAGCTAAAACTGAATCCCACTGTGATGCATTTAATATTTTTAAAAAGCCTTCAGAACTATGGCTTTACCCATGCAATTGAATTATAACTGGAGATATTTCTCCGTCACAGGATCTGCTAATTAGATGCTCAGAGCTAGAATAGTTCAATTACACACAATCAATATCCTCTGCCGTGATGCCTGTGTAAGCTGAAACTGCAGCCTGGCTGCATCTTATCATATTAACATGCAGGCTTCATCATTAGTCGATGAATCAAGGGGCTCTGCAGTTCAATATGCATTGTCAGTGATATAATACAGCACTTGACAGAGGCAGAGGCGTCACAAAAAGGAAAGGGTTTGTTTTTCTCTATTATTTGCTGTAATTTATACATTTTAAAATATTGCAATGCTGGTTTTGAGCAGGCTGCACAGTGGTGCCGTGGTGAGCGCTCTTGCCCTGCAGCAAGAAGGTCCCAAGTTCGAATCCCACCCTGAGGTCTTTCTGCATGGAGTTTGCATGTTCTCCCTGTGTCTGCATGGATTCCCTCCTGGTACTCGGACATCCTCCCACAGTCCAAAATGTAGAATTATTGAGATGCTAGATGATAAAACTTTTGAGTTGAACTAAATTTTAGCTTAAAAAAGTTTAAGAAATAATAAAATATGTTGGTTATTTAATACCTAGCAGGATGAAGGTGTTTGGGTTTGGTTGCAATCAAGTCTTTAGCAAACAAGACAAAATAACTGCCTTCAGTGTTTGTTTAATTGATGCGCTGCTTTGCTCAAGAACAAAGCAACAATTTATGCAAATTTAGAATAATACCTAATTATAATAAAAAATATGCAGTCCATCATTTATCAATGGCAACAACACCACAGTGCTAAATCCTAAACATTTATGAATAATTGTAGCCTGGTTGTCGTTTTATTGCTACACCCAGATCAGATGGCAGGAAACAGACGTTTTATTAATATTTAGTGTTAGCAAAATATCTCAAGAACCAGTGGTTGAATTTATTTAAACTACAAAACACAGTCAGTGGATGTACATCTACAACCTATTAGGTTTTAGAGTAAGTTCAATATGGTTAACACGGTTAATTCACTGTAGATAACACAAAAATGTATTTAATTAAGCCAATTTTACAGACACTAAGCTACAGTTTCATGTTGCAGTAGCTAAACCATTGGCAACACACACTCTGAGTGCTAACAGGGTGCTTAAGATCTTGGAAAGTAATGCAACATGTAATTTCCAAGACTCAAAGATCAAAAGTTACTATAATGTCATCCTTTCTCAACATAAAAGAAGCTCAGTTGAGTTTAAACTCCACCCCGCCTAAAAACAGACAATATGCATTTTTAAAGACCAAGTTCACTTGTTTTTTCAACACATGCAGGGGTCTCTATAAATAAATGCCTTTGAATTAATCTCAGTGTGGAAAAAAGCTTTGATGCTCCTGTTTCAGGAACTAGAAGTGAGCCGGAGAAGAGGTGAGTTGATGACGGCAGCATTTAGTCTTATTTCCTGATATTCGGACATCTCACCTCCGACTGGTAAACAGCAACATGACATTATCACTAACTCAGTTTGCGCTGTACCGTTGTTTTTTTTTTGTCCACAAATAACACAAACCTGAAGGAGTTCTGCTGTGTGGTGTTTAATGCTAATGGTTAGCTTCCATGAATGTTAATTTTCAACGTGACGTGCAGTGCAATCGTCAGGCTTTTCATATCCAAGCATGTTCCTGTCTGTTTCCTATCTAACGCAGGAAAAAAGGGTAGAAGATTATTTTCTCGTTAGGCCTGCAACTGACCGATCATATCTAAAAAATATCAGATAGAAAAAAACGTTTTTCTCTGAATTTGGCCTTTAAGAAAAATCAAAGACTGAAATATTTTCATTTACCAGATGAAAAACCAAATGTTTTTTTGCCTGTGCAGCAGGTACCTACAACAAGTTGTGTGTTTGTTGACAAGAAATTGACACTGCAGTTAATTATTTTATTCCAAATTGAAAACCTAATCGATTTTAATGTTTATGCTTTTCACTAACACAAATTTTGCAGGTAAAAAGACAAACATGTTGATGGGTTACAGCATGCATTACATTAGTTCTGCATCAAGCCTCATCAGCTGTGTGGAAAAAAATGCACTACCTGTATACTACACTATATATACACTATATTAGATGTATACTGTTTAGACTCCTTGTGTGAAAAATAATGGAAAATAATTACTAAGCAGTTAATTACTGCAAGAATAATTATAGCTTTATTTCTCTTCTGCCTGCAGAACACTTGGTGTTGTTTTCATAGAAGTCCAGATTTGTGATTTCAAAAACGTGAGACAAAAATTCCTCCCTTGATTGTGAAAATCCTTAAAGTCTTCCTGTAATTTTTTTCAGCTGGCTGTGAGAGCAGTGGTGCAGACGCAACTTAACACTCCCTACACAGGATATCTGGGCCTGTGGATTAGCTGGAGATAGCTGGAGATCAATCTACATAAAGCCCCTGTAGCCTCCTCTTCTCTTCTCTGCTATTCCTTTTTTCAATGTCCTTTTCCCCCTCTACCTTATGAAGAGGGCATACAGGGTGTGCCCGCAGAGAGCATTCTGGGTAATTAAAAAGAGGCCACGATCAAAGAGGTTAGGAGGCTGTGGACTTGGTGATCGTCAGGCATGTGGTCCATTTCCTGCAGTGTTCTCACAACAAAAGGTCTACCTTGTAAGGACCAGTGGGTGTCGGTGTGTCGGCAGGATGAAACAACAGACTAATTTCTCCAGTTACTATTTTAAAAATAAGCTTTTGCAACCAACTGGATCTTTGTGTTGGTAATATGATAAAGTTAAAAAACTAAAAGCCTACCTTGGTTACGATTTGCAACACCAAGTGATGAAGCATTTGCTCGATCTGTGTAAAGATGGAAAAGTTTTAAATTACACGAGTTGCCATAATTCACTCCGTTATGCTTTCAAAGTTGGGGGATGGCATGCAAAAGCTATTTCTTTTGCCTTTTTTAATATGAACGTCTCATCTGGTCAGGACTATTGCTCACTTTTTGCCAAAACACTGGGGATAATAAATCAGTGCACAAACAGAAAGAGTGAACATGCAACCTGAAGTTCCCAAAAGACAAAATCAGAGGTGCATTTGTGTGGTAGCTCTTGTTATTTAGTAGGTGGAGTCACCTGCAGGCAACTACATGTGCACGGACGCACGGCTTCAACCATGTCTTTGTAAAAAACATGGCCATCTTTTGCTTTTTGCACGTTGCTGCACGTGTGTGGAGGAGGAATCTTTCTGTTGTGGTAATGCTTGGGTCAAACGTTTGGCGTCTGCAACATTATATGAACAGAGTGTTCTTGCACCTTTCAGTTACAACGTGTACTTATCTCTGCAGTTTTAACAACTTTAATAATGCAGTAGGAAATCCATAAACCCTTCTGAAAACACTACAATATTTTTACTGACAGCTTGAGAATTGTTCTCCGTTTACTTTCAAGAAAGTCGAGAAAATGGAGTGTATAAAAGAGGCGTTGCATGCAGATTTATGTGTTGGAATGTGAAATATGAGAAATTGGCAAAATTATAAAATGAATAAATATAAAAATCAGGCTTAATATAAATATTGTTGATAAAGTCAAAGAAAATTTACTTTATTTCAGGAACTTTCTTATATACCTCCATAAAACTGTATGGGTTAAACTAGAAGTCGCTTCTTTTAATAAACGCAGAACAGGGTGCACTTATATTGGATATTCTGTATATTTTGAATGTGGAAAACATGCTGATACAAACATGGCACCACTTCTCACACCAACATCACCATTAAAACAAAAGTTAGTCATGACTGAGGGAGGAAACCCATTAGTCAGCATGCCAACGGAAAAGCTAGGTCAACTTACGCACTGGGCCTTGGTTACTGGGAATGCCTGCAGAGAAAGCAAAGAAAAGGTATCAATCACTTGTTTTTCCAGGTTTCAAAACTTTGGTCAAGAAATGAAAAGAGAAAGCATTTAGATGGTATTAACAAAGCCCAGCAATACTGTACTTATTCATTTGGCCTCCACTGTGCCTACTGATTAGCAGCTGTTACGGCCCTGCAAAGAACCTGGTCGACACATGGTCCAAAACCCGCCTCTTACTGATGATAATAACAGCTCCGCCACAGACAAAATGTCAAAAAGAATTTGAAGTTTCAGCACGGGAAAATAAAAGCCATTTCATCTGTAGATTTATTCATGTTTAATGGAGGCGTTATCCCCTAACCCTCCCCTGCGAGCTGGAGCGGACTTTGGCAAACCTGCAGCTTCCATCTAAACCATATGTCTCAGCTGTTTGTGGATCTTTGAATCGTCGCCGTCAGCGTGCGATCCCCACCCCCACAATTAGTGCAATTTTTGATCCCTTTCACAAGCATTATCTACTTTGTCTTTTGTGATTTTGTTTGGGGGTTTCACATTGTTTGCATCCCATTCATCATTCCATTATGCTTCCGGGCTGTGACAACAGCTGTTGGCAGGAGCACAACTCTGCAGCAAGCAGCCAGAAAAGCACAGATTTTAAGCTCCAATTTGCAAGCCACGGAGCGAGCCTGAATAACTAAACGTTATTGCCCTTTTGAGGCAAAACACATTGTGCAGTCTGATTAAACTTGCAGCTCAAACGTCTCTTAACCTCGGAATGTTCTGTGGAACACAAGATGAGTTGAAGCTACGGGCAAAATGGGCTGTCAACATAATTCTTGAAGTGATTCTTCTTCTTTTCTGAAGGCAATCTAAAGATTTTCTTTTCTGTTACTTTGAAATTGTCAGTGCCAGGCCTCGGTGTTGATAGTAATGGCTTCTTAGCAACACGGGACTCTATGTTGACTCTAATTTATTTAATGAAAGGTTACACACATTCATATATCTGCATCTGCAGGGACATGAATACCTAATAGACTGCCCAGTTCCTACCCTAGATAAATGACTCCCAAGATAAAAGAGGAAGAATTGATGACGGATGAACGCTGTTAAAGCATAATTACATTTTGCATGTTCAACATGTTTTTCTTGATTCAAGGTCTCTATATTTAATGTCTGAGCTCCGTGTAATAGATAAAGGCATGTTATTGCTTTACCCATGAGAGAAATAGGAATAATTCAAGACATAAGTGTTCATCAAACACCTGGGGGACCAATAACGCTGCATCTCATCCGTGTACAATATTATTGCATTTTATGCCACCGCCAAACATGCACTAATATTGCTTTTGATATGGCTAGACCTTGGTTTCATCAGTTCAGGGCAGATGCGTCCAACTGTTGGATTTTTTAATAATGGCCTGTCAATCCGACTGCGAGTACCACACATTGCAGGGAGGCTCATAACGCAGAAGAGGTGCAGGGGTAAATCCAGCAATATCTCCTTAGAGTTCACAGACGTTCCTCGTAAACAGACTCCCACACACAATCAGATGTGCTGCCTGCACATGCATGCGCACACACAGAGCTCCGCGCACAAACACGGAGACTCGTTCCTTCATCCAAATGCAGAGACTATCCTCTGCTTAATCAACAACAAATCATGAAGTGGTAATACGGTAAATATTTAGGAGTATGTACGGCTAGTTAACACAATGTTTGAGATTTCAAGTCTGAAAATCCAGATAAGGCACATGAATAAGGCTCTGTTATTCCAAAGAAACTGCTGCCAGACTGCAAGGCTGGAGAAGTCCAAATCATAGAGCAGAGGGCTGGATCTTCCACCATCTGGCCATGCCTGGCCATCTCAACCCTGAGTAGCTGCATTAGATTTATTGAAGCAATGAACTTTCTCACCCCAGGCATGGGATTTGATAAATGGGACTGAAATCCTGTCCAAGATTAGAATAGGGATAATGCAAAAGATCACCTTCTGCATCTGAGACACCTCATTCACAATTGTAATGGGGCAGAGATGGAAATACCATATTTAGTGTTACACTACGTGAATGAAAGTGCCCCTTCAGCCTGAGTTTCATACTGAAATATGAACAACCCCCCCCCCCCCCCCCCCCCCCCCCCCCCCAAAAAAAAAAGTTGGGATCCAAAGCTGCAAAGGCAAATCTGCAATCCAAAGCTAGCTTTTAACCACAAACACAGTCACAGCCCTCTCACCTCTCCTGTCGGCTGTCATCCCTAAGCCACATCCCCCCAATATGGGAACGTGCATTGTCACGGTACCAGATAGTGCTAAACACCAGGCAAGTTTTCTAGGTCCAAGGGTCTTTTATTGTCTAGGTCTAGTCTAGGTGGTTTTCTTTTTGGAACTCTGGTAGTTTGTCCTGAAGTTAAAGTGGTAGCAACCAGCTGTTTCCCCTTCTTTGGTATTATTGAGTGGTGAACATCTCACATCAGTGGTGTTCCGTTGATAAATATATGAGTGCGTAATGAGTGGAGGACCCAGGTAGATGCAGAAGTGTGGCAGTTCGATGAGACAGATAAAACGAATGACTCAATGGTTGATCTTGGACCATGCTGTATTATTGGTGGAGGTTTATAGACAAATGTGTGAGAACCACTTCAATAATGTCATCTCCACAAAATATTTATACTAAGTTAGAACGTTGTTACGAGTCGAGGCATGAAAGAAATGTTTTGCAGATTTGCCTTTGTGGCTTACGGACCCTGAAACTTTGCTCTTTTAATTTGGTGCTGATAAATGTTAATCTGTTAAAACATAGGAGGAAATAAATATTCCAAATGCATTCTGGGAAGAAACAAACTGAACACCCCTTTCTCTCGTGCTCTTTGTCCCATATTCCGTATATATATATATATATATATATATATATATATATATATATGTGTGTGTGTGTGTGTGTGTGTGTGTCCATATATGTTTTTTTACAGATGAAACAGGATAAATTAGAAAATGGGGAAAAACGTCTCTTTATTTCAGTAATTTGGTAATTTCATCTTAAGACTGAGAGACCATCTAATGGCTCAGGAACTCTTTACAGGTGTTTTGGATTCATTGGCTGATTACAGTGAGACACTTTTAGTTTAGAATATAGAACGTTTTCACAATATTCTAATTGTCTGAGATATTGAATGTTGGGTTTCGCATCAGCTGTATTTGATAATAATCACAGCTACTGTATAAGGCTTGAAAAATCTGGCTTGAGTCTATCTCATATGTTAGTTTCACCTTTTAGATACAAAACACTTTCATTGTCATTGAACAGGCATCCTGGTAAGATTATAGTTGAATTACTGACATAAATTAACTTTTGTGCCGTATTCTAATTTTTCACATTTCACCTGTTTTTGCTTTTGGTATTTTTTATCTCTGCTGGTTCAATCTGATGCAAAATCAAAAACAGTCTTATCAGGACACAAATTCAACAAAATGAACTACACAACAGGAGGAGAAACCCTGTTTTCTAGAAGAGGGGACCAAATCGTAGTTTGAAAGTAAAGTAGTGTTATCATAGATTATAATCTGACAAAAAATAAATAAGAAATTAAAGCAAAATTAAATTGAATAAAAACATCTAAATCAATTAAAAAGCAGGCAGTTCATGTATTTGATACAAACGACACACAGAAATTAACTGTGAAAAAGAATAAATGGCAAAAAATTGGATTTGAGATTGTTTTGTTAAGTCACACCATGACATTTTATGAACAGTTGCCTCTTTTGCAGATATATTAGCGTATTATAAAATGATCTCATACATGTGATCCATAACTATGTCAAATAACTAAACAAACATCAACTGCTCTGTAAATGACATCTAGGAGAGATGTTGCCCAGATGTTAAGCAATAACTGAGAAGGAGGTAGAAAAGGGTTATTAACCCTGAACAAAAAAAAAGGTTAGCGGTTCTTACTGCTGCTCTAGTACAAAATACTAGAAAAAGGGTTATTCCCATCATTACTTGTTCATCTTATACGTACATATATTAGCAGTTCCTTTGGGAATGGGCAGGTAGGAGCCCACGCTCCAGGCTCTTCCGTGGTAGTGCCTCTTGCAGCGGCTGCAGTCCGGCCCTGTGGTGTTGTGTTCACACTCACAGCCCAGCTTCCCCTTGTCAAACACACAGCTGTTGGCATGCAGGTTGCACTTGCACCTGAGACAGAAGGATAGAAACAAAAAGACAGAGACATGAATAGACATCATTCTGCACCCACTGAATCAATACCTTCTGGAGGGAATACACAAAGTGCCCTTGCGGCAACTTTTATTTGTGTCTTTCAAATTTTTTGACAGGGGTAAATTGAAATCCTGGTGGGTTATCTGACTTGAATCATGCCTCCTCAAAGCTTCATTATGCTCTGCTTTAAAAAGACAAGGCTCCACTTGTTGGTGCCCCTGCGGAGAGAACAGCATTGCGAATAAGGTCACTTTTGCCACTGTGTGAGCTAAATGAAAAGCACTCTGTTAGATTCACTAATTGAGCACAAAACAAGGCCTGATAGAAGGATGATGGGGGAAAAGAAGCTGTGCATCCTGGGAATTCTCTTTGTATCTTTGTTTTTAAAGTTATATTGTTTGGCAAGAGAGCCTTCAGGTGGGAAACGCAGTTGGCGGAGCTGATTTATTAGACTGAACTGCAGCAGAGCTGACAGATACTTCTGACAGGGGAAGAGAGGAAGCCTGACAGTTTTCTATACTAACACTCCATCCTTGTTTGGACCAAGAGGAAAATTCTGCTTCACTGCTTTGGTGAAAAGTAAGTTTCAGCGCTTGTGGAGCAAAACATAATTTGAAATCATTTCTTTTGAAGCCAAACTTGTGTTTCAACCCCAGCAAAGAGCTCTACCAAAGACAAAACAAGCCGTTTCACGGATTACAACTGTATTCCATAAATAACTCTTGATACTTGGAGTTACTCCCGACAGGGTAAAAGATTACAACCAGTGACTTCAACGTCTTGTGGGGTGGCAAACGATATACAGATAGCTGGGAGGAGACCATCAAGTGGAACTGACACCGTAGACCTCTCCAGAGGTTCGGGAAGCTCATGGTTTCACGTCAGGCATGTTTGTTTTTACAAAGTGCTTCCGAGGGAAGATTTCTCCCATTTGAGTCTGATGATCCATGTATCTATTTTCTACAACTGCAAGTGAACATGAGACAGAGAAACGACAGAGGCAGTCAGAAATACATCTATTCTAATTGACTTCCTGGCCTTGCGGCAACATCAGACATTATTAATGGATAACTGCGGGAAAAAATGGATATTATTTTCAGATCTGTATTGGTGAACAAGTATGCTGTGTAAAGAATATTAATAAGTGAATGTTAACACTTTAATGAATTGTTTAATTTGAATTAGCTCATTTTAACACAAGATAATAAATCTGAATTGTCAAGAAATGCAAATATGTGGTGAGTGTGTTAAATACGCGTGGTTGCCGTAAAGCAGCAAAATGTAAGATTGGAGTAAAAATGACATGGTGATCAACCTGGGTGGCTGCAGTCCATTTTTTTCTATGCAACATTTTTATTGCTGTCTCATGAGTTTCATGGGTGTTGCCAGTTATGGACCAGCACAAGAAAGTTCTTAATTACAAGCAAAGACGACTCATACACAGTGAGCTGAGTGGCCTAGGGTTAGAGGGTCCACCCTGGGACTAGGAGATAAGGGTTTAAATCCTGGTCGGGATTAAAAATAGAACCCACGGCCTTCCTGCTTGATACTCAGTTTTAAGGGGTTGGATTGGGGGGTTAAACTGTTGCAAGTTCCCACATGCCAAAGACAGTGGCAAGAAACAGAGTCAACAGGTGGGCCACAGAGATAAAATTGGACCCACACTGAAACACACTGAACTTGCTTATGCGAGTAAAATCAGCCAGAAGACAGGGGCCCAACTGCACAACAAGCATCCAAGCTGGGACAAAAGAAGATCAACTGAAGATAAAGCATCTCAGAAGTGGACAAACCCTTCATGAAGAATCCAAGGGATCAGAACTTGCTTCTGTGAGTAAAATTGGGCAGAAGGTCAAGAAGTGTTTGACCCAGCCTTCAGCAAGAGAGGTGGGGTCAAAGGAGGCAGACTGAAAAGAGGCTTATCAGGAGACAACAAGCCTTCATGAAGAATCCTGGACTTTGAGAGAAGCTGAAGATCAGTTGCAAAGATGACACCAAATGTCTTGTGTTGAGCTAAAAAGCCTTCATGAAGAATCCTGGACTTCGGGAGAAGCTGAAGATCAGTTGCAAAAAATGACACTAATGGACACTAATGACACTAGTTGAGCTAAAAAGTATGAAACTGATAAATGACCCCATGATCTTGCTGTCATGTGATAATGATGGATGTGTAACTGGAAAACTTTTACTTTGTCTAGGCCAGGGGTGTCAAACTCATTTTAGCTCAGGGGCCACATTGAGGGAAATCTAGTCCCAAGTGGGCCGGACCGGTAAAAAAAAAAAAAACTTCAGATTGTTTTCTTTGTTTTAATACAATCAATATAAAACAAGGCTGGAGCCTGAGGACAGTGTAGTACAAGTACAACACCTGAAGTGTACTTGAAAATTTGAAAAAAAAAAAAAAAAAAATCAACAAATAAAAAAAACATTCCTTAGTGATTCAAAGAGCTTACAGATCACATGGCAAGATCAGTTTCATGCAGCACTTAAAGTATATTTGACTCACTTTACTTTACATCTTTTAGCTTTCACCAGCACATCAATATCAGAAGTCACATCCTGAGTGGCAGCCAACTTCAGGATGTGATTCAAGTTCTTGTGTGAGCCTTGAGCGCAGCTTTGTTTTATTTATACTCATTACAGAGGAAACTTGCTCACAAAGATAAGTTTATTTTCCCTCTACATTGTAAAGTATGAAAATAAAGTTTACACAACCATCTCGCGGGCCGGATTCGGCCCGCAAGCGGGTTAAATCCGGCCCGCGGACCGCATATTTGACACCCCTGGTCTAGGCTGTCCCAAGAAGAGTATAAAAAGAGCAGCTAGAAGCAGAGCTGAAACAAGAGCTGGGGTAGTCGACAGTGAGAGACAGAGCAGAGGTGGGATAGAAGAGGTCGTCCTCCGTCCTCTGGATGGAGGACGACAGGTCAGTCGTTGGGGAGAGAAGGAGAGAGTCATACCTAGAGTTAGAGAGTGACAGGTTAGTGTTGACGCAAGTCATCCATTTATTCTCAGGAAGATTTTAGCATTAGCATCCTCCACAGGGGATAGGTTAGTTTTATATTTACTTATTTTTGATATTTTGCAATTTTTGACAGAGCAAGAGGGTGTTAGCCTGAAGCTGAAGAAGACTTAGAGTTGATGCAAGTCAACTGATTATTCTTAGTTAATTATTAGGATTAGCATTTCTCCTTGGGGGAAGTGATCAGTCTTATATCTACCTATTTTTTGTATTTTTTAATCTTGTAATAAACTTTTTGAAAAAGAATTCACATTCCTGATTCTTAAAGGTCCTCTTTAAAGGTTCGAGTGGGAGCCCCGATCCCGAAACAATAGGAGAGGTAAGCATGTTGTAATTACAGGTTCCTGAATTTTCAGGACTTGCTTTACAGTTTGTGACAGATTAAGAAAAATAAACCTTAGGTGAAGAAGCTAATCTTCTCCTCTCCCGTGAGTAACGAGATATCCTAAGGATTGATAAGCCAAAACATTAGTAGGTTAAAATAGGCTCTGTTTGCAAGTGTGAAAAAAGTCTTTGCCAGCGTGTGAAGGTTGGATTAATTAGATTAATTGATAAATCTATGTTAGCCTGATCAACTAACAAGAATCATTTTCTAGTTACCACCACCCACAAAGCTGACAGAGGCGCAAATTAATCCTAATATGACCCAAAGAATTGTCAGCATGACCGGCCCTCAGCTGAACTTTCGCCTTAGTATTTATAACAAATAAATAACAGGAGAAATCAAAAGGAAAGTGTGCTATCACAAAAGAAAAAGTACGGCATATCATTCTCACCTCAAAATAGGAAACTGATTCTAATTAGGGGGTCCAAACCAGGGTCTAATACAATAAAACTCACCGACGCCCCATGAGCCCTGAGAAAGCAAGTGCGGAACCAGGTTTTAAAGGAACCAACAAATAGGACACGCTCGCGACAAAACCACCAAATAGTTCCCAAGTGCAGCCGTGTCTGCAGCCCACCACGACGATGGGTCAAACACGGAGATGTAATTTCACCAGTGTGTGATGATGACTATGGAACTTTGACTTTAGATAAATACATTATCATATCTGGTGTTTGCATTCTTGGGTGTTTATGGTAGGGAGCACTTACTGCACTTAGTACGTTCATTTGTCTCCAGCATCACAGGAAGTGTGCTTGCCATCTTGTTGTTATGGTTCTGAATGACTCATTAAAGTAAGTAAAACTCATTATTCACTTCACACATATTTCATTGTTTAGACCTGACTATTTGCTTCTAGTTCATCATTAGCATTTTTAGCTTTTTGTAAGCCTTTAGCCTGCTTCACCTGATATTAGAGTAAAAAAAAAGTCGTAGCTTCTTAGGGGTAAAATAAATAACTTTTGGGTCGCTTCTGTTTACTGACTTTTGCTCTTTAAACAACTCTAGAGCTTTTTGCCTGCTGATGTAGAATAACAAATGCCATCGCTGTAGTGTTAGCTTGGCGCAAACTTGTCAAACTCACAAGGTGTTAACAGCAACTTCAACCTTCTTTCATTTTATTGAAAGGAGGAAAATTGACAACCCTCCAGCCACCTGAGAATACAATGTTTCAATGCAACCTTTCTCCCAACATGACTGAAACATAAGATTGTTTAGCAAATATTTCACTAGAACTCTTCATTGCTCCTTTAATTTGTCATGCCATAGATTCAACAAAGAGTTGGAAATATTCTTCAGATGTTCATAACTGACGTGTCGCTGCCACTTCCTAAAGGTTTGGGATTGAAAATATATCTAGTGACTATAGAGACCTTTGGTGCTCAGTGTCAAGTTCTGCATTATCCTGCTGGAAGTAGCCATCAGCAGATACCAGTCTGTGGTATTTAACTAGGGACTGTAGCAGCTCAGGAGGTTGAGCAGGTTGTCCAGTAATCAGAAGGTTGCAGGTTTGATCCCGGCAGAAAATTCTGCTGTTGTGTTCTTGTGCCGTTGCTGGGAAGGCTCGCC